TTTTTCGATCTTATATATTACCTATTCTGTTTCTCTTCTATCGCAGCCACTTCATTCAACAATATATTTGTAACTTAAATGTAAAATTCTTCTATCTTTATATATTGTTGTAAAGTAAATGTCAATGGATTTCATAACGTCAAAATGTTTTGGAATGTTTTTTTATAAATCCACGAATAATGCAATTCACATGATAGTGACTTATTTGTTCTTTGCGACGTCGTTTCCGTTATTAATCTTATCGACAAAGTGTCGAAAACATACCTAATCCTATCTCTGTTTACTTGACTCGGTGACTTATCGAGAACAAAAAATGCATTAAATAGAAATGTTGGCTATCTATTATATGTACAACATAAGTATACTTAAATAATAATAATAATAACAATGTGTGTAAAATACATTTAATATTTAAAGAAGAAAAAAAATCTTTTTTGTGAAGTTTTATAACATTGTGCACGGATTTCATTTATTCAGTTTGTTTGTAAAACTAAAAATAGACATTTTACAATTAATTATAAATCGATAGAATTTGAATGTATATAATCATTAACATGATAATATAATATATTATTTTGCCCATGTGTTGGAAAACTTTAACTGTGTTTGTAACTATAGGCTTTAACGTAACACCATACTATTTTAAAAACCATAGTTTTCGGTTTTAAGGCATTTCGCCACAAACGTTTCGCCACGTCATTTAGGTTTTCGTCACAGTCAGTTTTAAATATAGAAAGCAGGGTTAACGGGAACGTAGGAATCAATATTTTTTGTCAACATTTAACGCCCCGACCATCGACTTCGGGAATATTTTCTGGGAAAATGTTAACTATTATAATTGGAGAAGTAATTTTTAATTTTCTTAATATAATTGAGAAAACCCGCATATAAACGTCAGAACGGAATTTACATACTCACGGGATTTGACATTTTTCACAGAGTATTTGTATTAACATTCAAACGTTTTTTTGTTATATTAATAGCTATTCCAATTTTCTGATTTTTTTCGTTCTAAGTGAATAACAACTTTTGATTTAGTTTAATTAGTGTTTTAAGTTCAAATTTATGTCAAAATTGGTAAAAAAAAAAAAAAAAAAACAACCAGATACAGTTGGAATTTTTTGTATAATTATTAATGCATACAATTTTGAATATAAATGAATCAAAATATATTTAAGCAAACCTGGAATTTCTTTTGTTTGAAATGATTTATCGTTTCGTTTAGATATAAATTAAATTGCATGATACATCCTACCATCCCGATTTCCCGCATAAAACTGTGGCCCACCTATGGTGCAAATTATGTCCTGGTTAAGTTTTTTATTGTTGATATCTATGTAGGATATAGTAAATGGGATATGTGATCTGTTACAATCTACAGAACTATAGAACTACAAAAGCAGTTTGTGGTATAAAAAAAAAACCCTCTTCGACTCTGTAAATATTATCACAGCATCTAAAAGTCAAGCTTAACAAAATATCCGAAAACCGTGCCATTATAAATACCCGTACGCGAAAATACGCGTTTGGAAAACAATAATGAATTCGCTTTTCGCGAGTGTTTAAAGACGTTTCAACCCCGAAAAACGGTCTGTTTGTATAATACTACATATATATATATATGTGTATACGGAACATGGACATAATATTATTATTGTTGCTGTGTGTTTTCCTCTGATATATCCGTCTGCCGTTGCGTGTAACCGAAAACCGTATTTATAATACACGAATTATATTTCATTTGATCGTAATAACCGTAGTCCTGTTGACTGGTTAGAGAAAATATACAACATGTGCAACTTTACGATTTGACAGCGTGTTTTCATTTGTAATATAGAGTTACTTATATACATTAATATATAATATATCAGATAAATATTGTTAATAGACCTGACCTTACCGAAAATTCAAAACTAACAAGATATGTATACTACACATCATAATAAATTGTATGCAAAATTGTTGGTAAATTAATATATTATTATTTAAACCAAGGAGTGGGAGGAGGGATAAATCTGCTTCTTTTATTTTTTCTGTGCCATTATTTCTTGTTTATTTTTATGAATTTCGTATAATATGTATATATTATATATGTAACGATCGTCGTTCAGTAGTAACTATAGTATCTAAAAACACGCCGTTACTCCGATAGTACAAAGGCGATTGTACACCTAGCGTTTTAAAATGTTAACGTATCGTTTCAATTTAAAATATAAAGTAATATAAATGCGCCGTTACGTATCTTGATAACACAACCGTTTTGATTATGAAATATAACATTCCCAAAACCCACAATAATATTGTAGCTAAACAATTTTTGAAAATCCTAAAATGTGTGTACATATTGTATAGGTATTAAGAATTTTCTGAATATATTTCAGAACTTAATATACTTCTAAGTATAGTAGTGTTTAATATCTATCTTTGAAACTGCGTATGTACTTAATATGTACCATAATGTATGCAATATATTGTATATTTAATGCCATAATTATTGTCACCGGATGACATTCGTACAAATCCATACAAATAAAATACTAAAATATGGTGTAGTCAAACCAATGTACGTTTTTTAACTATGTATGGGACTGCAGCGACGTTACACCATCCACTTTCTTTGGCGATGATGCGAAAACCAATATCGTAAAAACTTTGAATATTATTTTACAAATCCATAAATAATACATACTAAGTATTTGTGAAGACAATTTGTTTGAATTCTAAATTATGGGTGGTAATAAGTTTATGAACGTCTGGTATTTATTATTAATTTTAAATTTAATATTTATATATATATAATATATACGTTTGTTAAAACAAAATAAGTCACGATTTTATTTTGAATTTTCACTGTTATTCGTTTAAAGTAAAAGTAATTTATTCTGGTAAAATCGTCGGATTTAATGCGCTTCATAAATATATGAATATTAAAATGAAAATATTATAATCGAAAAATTTATTTTTTTTTCCATAAAAAATGTGACGATGGTATATTTTCAGTTTCGACAAGTTCCGGGATTATTATGTTTACGGTCTATTGCCTTTATTATTATTATTATCATCCCGTCCGTCTCTTTCTATTTGAATACATTTGATTTGTCGACCACGAATACGACCACGTATAATATTATTAAACCATTTTAAAATGATTTTTACCTACTATAGCGTTTACCCACTCTCTTCTAAATAAACTAATCTTGCAAAGGCGTAGTTAATATATTTACTATAAAACACGTTTTACGTTACGGTGGAAAATGCGAACAACTGTTGTGTTCTTTAGCATGAACCCACGAAAGATTTTAACAGTTTTCTGTATGAGATTTTTTTTTCAAGTATACAACGATGAAAACACTTTGATACATTTTTTTCTTTCGGAAAACACTTTTATAGTTTCTAAAAAAGGTTCCGATTTTTTTACGTCGTACCATAAGAGATACAGATTTTTTGGCTAGTATTTTATTTGAAATAGTTTATCAAAATTTTCAGTAGTTCACCACCTAGGTCTTGTTATTTTTATTTTTGTTGATTTCTAGATTACCTTGAAATAAATGTAAAAACACAATTAACAAAACTTCTTCATTCAGTTTTTCGTTTACAATAGTTTATTGTAACACAAAGTAATTTATTATCTAAATTACCCTATAAATCCAATACTTTCCTTACTTTCCACCTAAAAATAGTGGCTGACCCATGGTTTAAAGTATATCAGCTTTTAGATTTCAAGTGTAACGAAGAATCTTATGATTTTACAAACATGTTTATTTTTTTTTTATCTGTGCGCAACTTTTCTTCTAGAAGTCTTGCTCCGATTTTTAAGTATAGCACCTTTTCTAAAAGGAAATCAGTGTGAAGAGGTACTTTAAGGTAGTAATTTTTCGATTTTCTCAGAATTTTTCTCATCAAATGTGAAAAACCGGGAAAAAGTTGGAAAAACTGGAAAATCGGTAAAATATTAAACAAATATTATTAAAGAAAATATATAATGTCAATTTAATTATTTTACCATAATATGACATTTAATATACTGTTAACAAAGCATCACTATTAACTGAACTCCTCTCAGAATCGTTTTTTACAGGTATACATTAAATCACCTGAAACAGTGTTCCGTCCTAACCGTTAACCTATCCGAGTATTATATTAACGGTAGGCATACTAACAACTCAAGGCGGAAAATCTATCCAAGAAGATCAATCAACACGTGTTTCATTAATGACTTTATAAGAGTATATACTATTAACTGTGCAATCCTATAATAGAAAGGACGAGATTGAATTTAAACAAATAGTTTTTTTTTTCTTTTTTTTACTCGCATTTAAATAAGTCTTGGATAGATCTGATAGATATATACGCGTGGCATCACGGCTGACTTAATTGATGATATACTCTCTCGGATTTCAAAACGTCATCGTGACAACAAAGCGTATCTCTTTTATTCAAAAATCACGAGTGTGAGAATAAAAAAATAGTTTTGAAATGACATTTTTCCGCGAATATTCTTGTTGTTTAAAATGTATTCCTAAGGCACGATAAAAATAAAATCTTTTTCGAGTCAGGCAATCCTTTTAAATTCTGAGCGTATCAATTTTTATGATGTATTTTTAGTAGTGATATGAACTTTTTCCAGGTTTTTTGTTGCACGTTTTTGGCCTACAATAATTTTACACTTTTACATCGATTTTATTAATAGTATTTGGCAGTGAATTTTGCCACATCACGCGTCTATCCGTACGTTTTAGAATTAAGATTTCGTAACTCGCATTAATTTGCACAACTATTTTCAGTCAATAAAGTTCTTCTTCTTTTGTATTCAATCCTGAGATTGGTTTTAGTAATTATCCATTCTTCTCAATTGTTTGCCTTCCTCTTAACTTCTCCGTAAGAATTACACCTCTGATCCTTTATTATTTGTTACATATATTCTATTCGTTGTCTTCCCTTAGAATTTTTACCTTCTATGTAGTCTTCTATAATTAATCCCAGCAATCTACCATATCTCATTACATGTCTAATCCTTTCATTTCTCCTTTTCTTGATACTATTTCATAGCGTTCTTCTTTCAGATATTTTTTACTAAATCCGTCCAACTTATTGAGCATTATTCTATTACACCACATCTCAAAAATGTTTATTCTTTTCTGTTTCTCTTTGGCAATTGTCCACGTTTTACTGCCATACAGCATTTTTACAGCACATTCCATACATATGTCTTCAGAAGATTTATCCTAGCGCGTATGCTTATATTTCTTGAAGTAAAAAGCGCTCTTTTTTGTTAAATGATATCTTAGCTTGGTATATTCTCTTTATTATTTCTGATTTACTTTTGCCATTTTCAATTATTACGCTTCCCAAATATGTAAATTCTTATACTTGCCCTATTGCTTGATGGTTTTGCAGACGTATTGTTGCCCTAATATAATTGTTTCTGCTATGTACAAGAACTTCGGTCTTTTTCATATTTATTTTCATGTCCAATCCACTGAGCAGAGTTTCTTCCATACATGTCAGCATCCTTTGCAAATCCTCTTCGTTTTCAGCTATGCTTCGTATCAGCTTGAACAGATGACATTGTCGAACGCTTTTTCTATGTCAACAAAAGCTATGCGTGTAAGCCTACCTTTTCTAATTCTTTTTTCAATAATTTTTCTTAATATCAGTATTACTTTTTTTGTATCCATGTTGTTTCTAAACCCAAACTGGTCTTCTGATAATATAGCTTCAATCTTATTTTTTATTCTTCTTGACATAAACATTGTCAATATTTTTGACAGATGTGTCAGTAAACTAGCTGTACAGTACTCATCACATTTGTTTGCGGTTGCTTTTTTCGGGATAAGAATAATATTACACTTAGTAAAGTGTAAAGGAAGTTATCTTAAGTTAAATATTTCCTTTATAAGCTTAACAAGCTCACTGCACAATTTTTCGCCAGATTCTTTTCAAAGTTCTACATAGATTTTGTCAAATACTGCAGCTTTTTTCCTTTTTAGATCTCTAAATGCTTTATCAAATTCTTTTCACAGTACATTATAATTTAACCGGTTTTCCAGTGCTTCTTCATCGTGGTCTATTTCTAGTTTAGTAAGTTCTGACCTCTCATATAGCTGCTCTAAATACTCTTTCCATATGCTCCCCTTCTGGTTGTCCACAAAAATGATAACTCTGTAGTTATTTTCTATTGAATCCCTATTTGTCTTATAATCGTTAAAGAAATTTTTAACTAATTTTTACGCTGCATCTCTGCTACTATTTTTTATCCGTACCTCTATATCTTTGCATTTTTTTCTCTAAATATTTTTCCTTTGCTTATTTTGAATTTCATATTATAAGATTTCTTAGTTCCATATATTTTAGCTTATGTTCAAGCCTAGTCTCATTCTTGAGCTTCCTTCTTTCTTTTATCATACTTACTATCTCTTATTATCTTATATTATCTGTTTTATATTTTATGTTATCTATTCTTTCCTAAGTACTGTGGATTTTTATTCTTTCAGAGCCTTTGGTGCTGCTTCTGTCACTGTGCTCTTTATAATAGCCCACCTATTATTTATATCGGTTATTTCATTTATATTTATATTGTCTGTAAGTTCTTTAAACCTTTCATTTGCCTTTTCCTTCTGTAATTTGTTTATATGCTATTGATTATTGTTTTTCCTTGATACTATTTTCTTGAACTTTAGGTTACTTTTTATCATTAAATAAATTTTGGTGACTATCTATGTCTGTTTCTGGATAGCTTCTACAGTCGTTTACTTGGTTTCTACATTTCTTCTTGGCCATAATGTAATCTATTTGATATCATTCTCTGTCTCCCGACATTTTCCATGTATACCTTCTTCTAGGATTGTAACTGAAATAAGTATATGTTATTACTAACTCGTGTTTTGAGCAGAAATCTATTAATCTATCTCCTCTTTCATTTCGGTTTCTTAGACCATAATTTTCTATTATGTACCATAAGCTTTCTTGTTCTACTATAGTATTCCGATCGCCCATAATGATGCGATTTTCATCTCCTTTAACTTTTCGATGCCTTTTCCTATTGCTTTATAGACTTCTTCAATTTTCCTCTCACTGCTATTAGAAGTAAGCATGTAGACTTGGAATATGATTGTATCCTTTGTTTCGTTTAGATTTTGACTAATATTATTCTTTCATTATACTGCACAAATCCTTTAACTTTCTTCCCAATAGCCTTACTCATTAATATGCCTACCCTTCTAATTCCTGAGTTATTCTCAACTGTACCGGTTATGTATCAATCTATATTCTCCACTCTATAAATCTTTTGCTCTTGGTCATCTCATTTCCGACAGGCCAATGATTTCAATCTTCATTCTTGGCATTTATATTTTCATGTTTTCAAAATTCCCGCATGTCAACTGAGTTTTAACGTTCCAAGTAGCTATTCTTCTCCAATTTTTAAAACTTCTTTCTTCAAAGAATACAACACAGTATTGGATTAGATTTCCATTATAATACATTAGAATGTCGATTATCTGCACAAATTGGGACTGTGAGGGATGCAGATAATCAAATAATAATTAAAAATACATAAAATTAAAAACCTAATGTAATGTATTGATATATGATACTGTATATATAATATTGTTGAAAGTACGTAGTACAATTAATTGAAATTGAAAATTTAAAAACATTATATAATAAATAAACTTAAAATAAATGCATTTTTGTATAAATTTAAAATAATATTCAATTTTTTTTTTTTGCACTTCTAATGAATTCTAAATTTTTATATTATTTTATATTTTATATAGTTTTATATTGCTTTTTGTTTCAATATTTAGCGCATTATGTTTTTTTTTAGAACCCATTTTAATTCAAATGTGACTCAATCGTATACTCGATTTTTTCGACTTTAAAAATCAACTAAATTTAAAATTATATACATATCTGTATTAAAGTGAGCCGTAGAACCATAAAATATATACAATTTATATTAATTACATTAGTTTTATTTTCATTATTTTATATACATTAATTATACTTCATATTGATAAAAATATAACATAGTAACTTAAAATAGTAATAGTAGTTCAAAATTATGAAAAAGAAGTGTCAAATTGTTAGAGTTAAAAAAATAATAATTCTTATTAATAACGATTAAAATAATTTTAATCGGTGATATTTTAAATAATAAGTGGAGCAAGAAGGACTAATGAAGCATCTTGTCAGACAGCACCCCCCCTCCCCCCCAGGAATCGATATATCTCTGCAAATATAGCTATCGTGCAAATTCAAAAAACAGTTATGTAAATTCATAGTTACGTACGAAATATACTAAATATTTGGCAAATTTTTCAATGTGAGAGGAAGGGGCTGACTAAATATATGTGCCGTTAGTGTTCTGTCTAAAAGGAGAATAGGATAATTTTTTGATTTTACTTTCAATAATAATTCAAACATGGAAAATTCGGAAAAAACATCGGTTAAATGTCTAATTTAGCTCCACTCAAAATCGTTTTTCGTGCTCTAATTTATCGTTGTTTATAGTACATAAATAAAATTGCATTAAAAAAATCGACTCCCAGAAAAAGGCGCAAAACGCAAAATTTAAACAATTTTTGTTCGACCAGGGTCGTTGAAAAGCTTTGGTATGACTCGGCAAACTGCCCACCCAAAACAGTGGTTTACACGTAAGCAATATTGGTTTTATTTTTATTAGTATACACTCTTTCAATATTTAATCTATTGTGAATTTGCCGTCTGTATTACTTATCAACAACTTGTTTGTTGCGTGAATAAAAAAAAAAAAATCGGATATTTTTATTTTAACAATAATTTATTAAGGATTCAAAATCGAATATAAAGATCCATAAATAAATAAATGTCAAAAAGCAATGACATTGAGATAAAAAAAAAAAAATAAATTGATTTTCGCGTAAAAGAAACTTGTTTGCGAAAACAGATATAAAAACAATTATTGTCGATAAAATTCTTTATTTTCTTTGTGTCCCGTTTCTATTAAATCGAGATTTTTGTATAAATGGGTTTACGATATGGTAAACGTAAGTCCTGTTTTGTTCAGGACAGTTGTCCTTTATTTCGGCTTAGTGTAGTGTCCTACAGCACGTATGTTGTCCTGTTAAACAAGTTGATACCTTTTTTGTTATTCAAATCAAATTTCATTTTATCACCGAGTAAATAAGATTCATCGGCACGGATGTATAATTTGAATTGGGTCAGTGTTATACTGATATTATAATATAGTAAACGGGCCACACAGCACCGAACGATTTTTTTTATCTAAACGAAAATCGTAAAAAAAAATAATAATAATATATTCAAACGAATAAAACGGGTAATTACCCAATAATACAGGTAATTAGATTGTATTGTGCTAAACGTAAAACAATATACGATAATAAACATAGAATTAATCGGAATAAGAATATAAACCAAAATAAAATTTAATATAACAGATACTACATAGTATTATTAAAATATTTTGTATGAATCATATTAAATAAAGAATAGGAGAAATCGAAATTTGTAAAAAGTTTGTTACATAGGTACATGGCTTTTGGAATCGAAGAATATTTCATGTAGTTTGTGTTGAGTGATAACAAATAGTACATGGAAGTGGAACGGTTATTATACACTGGAATGTTAAACGGGACGCATTGTAATCGATAAGGAACATCAATTTTGTTATTAAATAATTTATAAATAAAGGAAATATTCGTTAGTTCGCTACTAGTAGCCTAAAGTAAAGAGATTAAAAAGGGATCTTACTGGTGTAAGGTCGTGCTGGTATAGTTATAATAAATTTGAAATCTATAAACTTTAAAAAACGATTTTGAACTCTTTCGATACAATCGATGTTAGATTTAGTGTAAGGGCTCCAAATGGTTGATCCATATTCTAGGATTGATCTAATTAATGTGTAATTTAAAAGAGTCCAAAAATCTTTAAAATCAGATGAGTGTCCTTTCACAAAGCCTAATATTCGTATTGATTTTTTACCACAAATTCAAATATGATCGTGGAAGTTAAAATTGTGGGTTATTATAATAATAGGTCTTTTATGTATGAACCAGAATTGAGTTTATTATTATTTAATCAATAAGTAAATTGTATATGCTCACGGAAGCTGTAGAAGCATTTTAAATAATGTTTAGTAGAATTTAAACTCATTCCCCAAGCCTGGAACCAATTAGATAAAATGTTTGATTTCTTTTGTAAAATTAAACAATCTTCGATTGAAGAAACACGGGAGTAAATTTTTAAATCGTCTGCAAAAAATAGGAAGTAACATTTTTCTAAGATGGATGAGATACTGTTAATAAATAAGATAAATAGGATAGGGGTTAAATGTCTGCCTTGGAGGGTTTCTAATGGGACTAATGTTGACTTTGATACGAAACCATGAGCTTTTATAAATTGTTGTCTGTTTATAAGGTATGAATTTAACCAGGATAATAGAAGATTACTAAAACCTAAATAAGCTAAAACAGTTGTGAATAACTTATGATCGACACGGTCGAAGGCTTTCTTTAAGTCTGTATAAATTACATCGACTTGGCAATTATCTTTAAAAGAGTCGAGTATGAATTGTTGTAAGGGCACAGATTACATGTGAGATACTTACTTATTCATTGGTTTAATAATGTGTTTAAGAACTAATTTGTCTAATAGTTTTCCAATCTGTATGAGGCCTGATATTGGTCGGTAATTCCTTACATCAGACTAGTCACCTTTTTTAAAAATTGGGATTATAGAGCTGATTTTC